GTTTAGCAGGAAAGTAGACTCCATTTTATCTATTCTGATTAATGACGTGTTCGGGATTTATTCAACTAACCTATTTTGTATTTTATATATTCTCTATGATCCTTTCTTTTCCTCCTTTCTTGCTTTCTTTGTATTAAGTTTATTTTCCTCTTTTCATTTTGCAATCACTTTGATAATAGGGAACTTTGATTTTCACTCTAAATAAGTGAAATGTTATCCCCCCAACACAAAAAAAGAATTCTATTTTTCTTGTTACTAAAAATTGTACTCAATTATTTGTCAGTAAAATAGTTGTATAAATTTCTTTTCTCTCTCATTGCATAAGTACCTACATGGATGTCCTTGATATTGCCTCTTGGCCCTAAAATATTGACTCTCTGGCCGTTTATAGGAAAAGTTTAATATGTATGCAATTTTTCTTCCTACTAGTGATTGCTGTAGAAATTTAACTTGTTATATCATTTCAATTTAACTTGATTTCAGTATAATTTAATGAAATCTAAACTTAACAAAATATTTTTTTCTTTCAGAACAATTCCAGGAACTATTAAAATGATTTAAACTGATGCTTAAGTTTTATCTTGATTTTTTTTTGTCTTCCTACAAGTTAAACATTATCATTGTAATTGTTTCATTTATTTATTTATTTATTTATTACTTTTTGTTTTAGGAACAGAGTCTGGCTCTGTCACCCAGGCTGGAGTGCAGTGGCATGATCATAGCTCACTGCAGCCTCAAATTCCTGGGCTCAAATGATCCTCTTGCCTCAGCCTGCCTGCCAAGTAGCTAGGGCTATAGCAGTGTGCCACCATGCCCAGCTAAGTTTTTAATTTTTGTAGAGATGGAGTCTCACTATGTTGCCCAGGCTGGTCTCGAACTCCTGGGCTCAAGCAAACCTCCTCCAGGGCCTCTCAAAGTGCTGGAATTACAACTGTGAGCCACCGTGCCCGACCTCATTGTAATTGTCTTACATGGTCAATGTTGTTTTAGCTTTATCTCCATGCTTACCATTTGTTTCCTTGGGCATTTCTTCTTTATGTTTCAGGAGTCTTTGCTCTAGAAGTTCTTTTACGGGGGGTTTGTTGCTATGAACTGTTTTACTCACAATACTTCTGACAGTAAATTTGTGGGTGGTTTTTTTTGCCACACCAACTGAATCTGCAACTTTCCAGACACCAATTGGGTGTTCTACAATGAAATTCCATTCTGATACTAACTACCCAAAGTTAGCACAGACCTTGTAGATTAACTCACTCCCACAAGACTGCTTCCTCTTCAGATGCCAATCGCAAGTAACAATTTTTGGGTACCCAGGGTACGCACACTTCTGTCTGACTTGGCTACTCATTTGGAGGTTTCCACAATCACCTCCTTGGGTTTGATAACTAGCTAGAAAGCTTATGTCTCATAAGACTCAGGAAAACACTGTACTTACTATTCTGGTTGATAATAAAAAGATATTATAAAGGATACAAATGAACAGCCAGATAAAGTGGTACATACAGCAAGATCCAGAAGAGTCTCAAGCACAAGAACTTCTGTCCCCATGGAAGTGGAGTGTGTCATTCTCCCAGAGCTTGGATGCATTCACCATCTTAGTTCAGAAGCTCTCCAAACCCTGTCGTTTAGAGGTTTTTATGGAAGTTTCATCATGCAGGCGTGATAGATTATTAACTCAATCTCTGGCTCCTCCTCCCTCCTGAGGGGTTTGGGGATGAGGCTGAAAGTCCCAAACTTCTAATCAAGGTTTGGTCTTTCTGGACAGCCCACATCCTATCCTGAAGAACATGACAAGAGTTGCCTCATTAGAGCAAAAGATGCTCCTATCACTTATGAAATTCCAAGGGACTTAGGGGCTCTGTGCCAGGAGCCAGGAAAGATGACCAAATATCTGTTTCTTATTATACCCCAATATCACAGTTGCTATTAAACTCAGTTTTTACTTATCTGAAAAATGACTTTATTTTGCCCTTACTCATTAAACATAGTTTTCATTTATAAAATTCTTGGTTGGCTTTTTTATTTCCTCTTATCACTCTTGTATTAGTCTGTTCTCACATTTTTATAAAGAACTACCTAAGACTGGGTAATTTTTTAAGAAAAGAGATATAATTGGCTCACGGTTCTGCAGGCTCCACAGGAAACATGCCTGGAGAGGCCTCAGGAAACTTACAATCCTGGCTGAAGGGGAAGGGAAAGCAGGCACATCCTGCATGAGTGGAGCAGGAGGAAGAGAATGAAGGGGGAGGTGCTACACACTTTTAAACAACCAGATCTCCAGAGAGCTCACTCACTATCACAAGAACAGCAAGGGGGAAATCTGCCCCCATGATCCAATCACCTCCCACCAGGCTCCTCCTCCAACACTGGGGATTATAATTCGACATGAGATTTGAGCAGGAACACAAATCCAAACCATATCAACTCTGAAGATATTTTTCCACATTTTCCTTGCTGACACATTGTAGGTGTTAACAAGTTGACTGTCCATCTAATTTGTCATTCTTTCATAGACAGGTTTTTTGTTTTTTTTTGTTTTTTTTTTTTTTGAGACAGAGTCTTGCTCTGTTGCCCAGGTTGGAGTGCAGTGGCGCCATCTCGTCTCACTGCAAGCTCTGCCTCCCGGGTTCAAGCGATTCTCCTGCCTCAGCCTCCTGAGTAGCTGGGATTACAGGCGCCCACCACCACCCCCAGCTAATTTTTGTATTGTTAGTAGAGATGGGGTTTCACCATGTTGGCCAGGCTGGTCTCAAACTCCTGATCTTGTGATCTGCCTGCCTTGGCCTCCCAAAGTGAACAGTTTATCTTTTCTCTCTAGCTGCTTTGAAAACATTCAGTGGTGTGCTGGTAAATGCTTAAGCAGTAGCACTCTAGGAAAACAACAGTATACATATATGTACATAAGTTATAAATGTTTCTGATATAGAGTATATATATAATACAAAAGTTACATGTAATAATAAAGCATATAATATTATTTATGTAAATTCCATATAGCGACCCATAAATTCCAAATAGCATTTTGATTTCTGCAAATTGATTTTTGCTAAACTGTTGTATCCTTAGCCAAGCTATGGTTACAATTGATAAACACATTTAGTTCTACTATGAATGCTGATATTTTTATTTATGTTAACAAGTAAGACAAAAGTGAAACAAAGAAAGGATATGTCACTCATTTGTCAATAACATTAGCAACTTTTTTGCTGAGTCAAGTAATCGTTTTTTAATAATGGAAGACTATTTCCTCACCTTTCTGTGCTAGTAACAATATAACAGCTAGTCTGCATTATTAACATGATCGCCATCACTTCCTTAAATCTAGATAATAAACAATCAATCAGTCCTGACTTGTAGCATTTGCTGGTGTTTGTAGTGTAAGTACCCCTACAATAGCTGATTTCAAGCTACTATATGACAACACTGAAGTTGGCAGTGCTATGCAGTAGCACACCATCATATAATGTTGTCATGATACCATTACAATTGACATAAATAAACTCCAGAGCATAGACAATAGTGAAATGTCACAAAATACTTACATTGTGGTAAGTTTTGAGTCTTTATTGCATTTGTTTTTAATATTTTCTTAATTGCAAATTTATATAATTTTTAGATGATGATCATGGTTAACAGTTGGCTCACAAAATTTCTAAAAATTTAACAATAAACTCTTTTAAGTTAATATGAGCTAAGTCCAATACACCAATGTTACTTCCTGCTTTTGATTTCTTGGTCTTCCTTAATGTTAGTATGAACGTCTTTCTTCAACTCTCTAAATGTCTCAGGCATTATCTGTTCAAATACTGCCTTTTCAAAAATTCAGTTCCATTTTCAAGAAGTCTTTCAAACTCACCTTGCCATTTTTGATAATCCTCTCTTTCTTACTTATGCTTTTAATACTTCTTTTTATTTATTTGAGCATGTTTTAAAACTTACCTTATATTCTCTATTTGGTAATTACAATATCTGAGGTTTTTGTAGATATGATTTCACAGTTTGTTTCTTACTCAAAGTGGTTTACTTCTGCGTGTTTTGTGATTTTCATTTGTGAGCTTATATCAAATCATAATGTTGACGGTGGAGGAGTCCAGGTTCTTGGCATCTTGAACAAAGAGCTGAACAAAATGCACAAACAAAGGAAGGAAGGAAGGAATGAAGGGATTTGTTGAAAATGAAAGTACACACCACAGTGTGGGAATGGTTCCAGGCATAGGAGCTCAAAGACCCCGTTACAGAATTATTGAGAATTTAAATACCCACTAGAGGATTCCATTGGTTACTTGGGGTACGCTCTATGTAAATGGAGAGAACGAAGTAAAGTTACAAAGTCATTTACTTGACCTACACCCTAGCAGAGGACGTTTCCTGTCATTGCTGAAGTGTGAATCAGCCTTTTGTTCCCTGCCTCTAGACCCTATTTTCCTGCTTCAATAACTGTTTTAAAATAAAATGTTAAGGTAATCTGTATTTTGGCCACAAGTCTATGTGAGGACAGGCTTGTGGTTAGGAGTGCTTACGGGAGACTTACCCTCCATCATTTTACCTATTTTATCCATCATTTTTGAATTATTTTGTCCAAAGTATGTTTCTCTGAACATCTAGTCTTCCACATTGCTAATAAACTATCTTTAGGACCTAAATTAAAGATCAGACTCATGTGAAGGATAGGAGACTGGGAGACCAGTTAAGAGGCTGCTACAATGGTCCAGGCTAAAGATAATGAAGACCTGAACCTAGGAAATTGCAAAATAAACCACGAGAGAAGAAGCTGAAGTGAGGAGACATCTCTAAGGGAGAATTGGCGGGATTTAGTAGACAGAAGTTGAGTGAGAAAGAGAATCAAGGATGACGTCAAGGTTTCTAGTACAGTATTTTGATTTGTCAGAGATACACTAACGAAAATCATGTTAAATATTCTCCAAAATGAACCTGAATGGGACCTATGTTTAAGCATTTCAAAATCCTGTTAAATTTAAATTTCTTAAATGTGTTTACAGGCATGGAAAGAAGAGCAAGATCGATTAGCAGAAGAGGAGCGCTTAAGGGAAGAAAAGAAAGCAGAGAAGAGCAAAGAAGCTGGTAAAAAGAAAGGCAAGGATAACGTAGAGAAAGAAGATAGTAGGTCTTTGAAGAAAAAACCATCTCACAAGGAGAAATCTAAAGAAGAACCAGTCAAGGTCCAAGAAGTAATAGAAGAGTCCCCCCACCAACCAGAACCTGAGATAACTTACTCAGTACGCTCCAATTCTGTAAAACTTAGTCTCTTTGGGCTATTCCTATTTGTTTTGGGAAAATACAGCTATTGTAAGATTCTTTTGTTTTTACTGCCACCACAGTAGGCCTAGGGTTTCTTCTGGTATCAGTGAGCTCAAACCTGTATTCCACCCCTGATGTCTAGAACCTTGTTTCTAGTCAATCATCAAGATGAAAATAGCCTCAGGTCACTTTTCATTTGAGTGCCACGAACCTAGCTAAGGTCAGTAAAGGTAGAAATCTGACACAGAAGTACTCTTATAGATATATGTAAATAAGTGAACACAAAAGTTGGCTTTTTCTGTCTCAGACGATGACACTTGCTGACTACATTTTGTTGTCTCTTTGTGGGCAATCATGTTTCTGGCTTGTATGCTTTTGTAAAAGCTTCCCTTTGCCAATTCTCTCTCAGCTAGCTGTTATGAGGAAAACCTAATGGGAAAAAAAAATGGAAAGAAATCTAACAGCCCCTGTGCTTTGTAGCTACTCCTCTAAACCAGTTGTTCTCAAGTTTTAGCATGCATTAAATCCCCTGGACCTCTGTTAGCAACACTCAGTATAAAATATCTTCTACATATGACCTCCTTAAGTGGAGTGTCCACTCTCCCCAGCATCAGTTCACTTTAAACAGAAAATTAACAACCAGTGAATGAGAACTTGATTTCTTCTTGAACTGCCTTGACAATAGTATGATAATTCAATTTTCACTAGGTTATTAGAATGTACCGATGAACAGAGTTTAACATAATATCTTTAATTCTGCCTGTTATAACACCATAGATGTTTCTAAAAATAATATGAACACTAGCCTCTGAGTCTGCAAAGTGACAGACATACTTAGCGAAATTAAGCTTCTGGCAACTTTAGTTGGCTAACACTGATAAGTTGATTTTTGTCTATTGAAGCTTCACATTCAAAGCATGATATTTTCTCTTCTAGTTTCACGGATACAATATGGGAAATACACCTACTCAAATCTCGGGGTCAAATTACTACCTGTATCCTTCTGATGGTGGGCAGATTGAAGTGGAAAAGACAATGTTTGAAAAAGGTACATTTTGAAAGCAACTGGTTAATGACTGGAAAGATAATAATACATTTCAGATAACCAGGGGCCCTCTACTCCTGAGTTTGATAGGCGAGAGTGTTATTCTGTCCCCTACAATACATTTAGGTGCCACAGTCAGCATTTTCAGACTTCACACTTTCTTCTATTGTAATTGACTCTACAAGGCATAGGTCAGTCAAGAGTTTAACTGATACATGCTAATATGACCATTCTAGTTGTTAAAATATTAAAATACTTCCATACAATTGGTAAAAAGTAATAGTAACTGCAATAAGCAATTAAGTAATAATTTTCATTACAGCACACCTTGTTATCCCAGAAACCAAGCACATTCTGTGAGTTTATTGCATTTTTCTGGTGTGGCTTTTGAGCACAGAGCTTGGAACCTGCTCCCAACATCCACCTATTGTAGCTTTTACTAAGATTTGCATAAGCGTACAATGCATATAAGTTTCAGGTGATTGATAGTGAATTCAGTATTTTCTCCTAGTTCTGTCAATTTTGAGGGTTGATAGCTCAATCCAAATTGAGAGGAGATAGCCAATTTTTTTTTAAACAAAAAAAAAATGGGTCTGAACACTAAAAAAGAGAAAGCGTTGTTGGAAAAATTTTTATTAACTACCACAATAATAATAATAGCTACCAAAACTAACACATAATTTTTAGAAGTCGCAAAACCATTTCACATTAATTATATCATTTGATGAATCATAATATTGATTATAGGCATACATTGCCTCAGCCAGTTCATTTTCTCTTCTGAAATTGGGTTTGAAATGTGACTAAAAGGCCTGCAAATACCTCCTTGGTCTCCCTGCCATTTATGCGTGGAATTCCACCATTACTTTATTTCCTTAGGCTTTGTCTTACAGAGGTGTTGACATCTCTAGGCATTTCCCCTCCCTGGTTTATATTCTATGCTGCCTTTTTATTTTTGTTTCAGGGATACATATTCAGGTTGATTCTATAGGTAAATTACACATTGCAGAGGTTTGGTCTGCATATTATTTCATCACCTAGGTAATAAACAGAGTACTTGACAGGTAGTTTTTGGTCCTCACCCTCCCCTCACCCTCAAATAGCCCTGGTGTCTATTGTTCCCTTCTTTGTGTTCATGTGTTCTCAATGTTTAGCTGGCATTCCTAAGTGAGAACATGTAGTGTTTAGTTTTCTGTTCCTGTGTTGGTTTCTGTGGAGCATTGTGTAACCATCTTGTTGAGGAGCTTAATGTGGCATCCTAATCGCCCATCTTCTATTCTATGGTTCCTCCTCAGGCCCAACTTTTATCAAAGTGAGAGTGATAAAGGACAAGCACAATTTTATAATTCATTTAAATGACCCTAAGGAAATTGTGAAAAAGGAAGAGAAAGGGGACTATTATTTAGAAGAGGAAGAAGAAGAAGATGAGGAACAAAATCTTGAAACAGGTAAGCAGCTGCATCTTTGTGCCAGTGAAGGTTAATGCTTAAGCAATGCGCTGAACCCATCTGCCTGACACAAATACATATGGACCTCTTGCCCTTAGCACATGGAATTTTTCCACATGGTAACTGAGGTATTTTGACATTCTGTATTATAATATGTTATTATACACATAGTACATCGTAGTGGGCTGCTTATTTGGCTTTTGTTCCTCTGGGCACCGAGCTTTTGATTCCAGTTGTTTGATACAGAGTCTACCCAGACTGGTCATCTTTATGGAGCAATCATTGAGTTTGCCATGTCTATTCTGCCCTTAATTTTGGTTTATGCACTTGTACCAACTGAATTCTCGAAGATGCAGGTCCTTTCGCAGTGATTCCGTAGTTTCAGCTTCTTTCCAATAGGCACTGCAATGATGAGGTTTCTTCCTATGCTCTATCACTTAATCCTCTGTAGCACCAAATATATTAGGTTGTAAAGACAAGGAAAAACCATACATTTGACCATGAGAGTCATTACCTACTTGGAAATGAGAGCTGCAAATGGATGTCCATTGATAAAACACCATGAAACTTCATAGCACCATTGTACCAGGAAACATCATTAAGATAAATTAATTGCTTCTTTCTTGTCCAGTATGGTGTTGATTATACCTGCAAAAGAAAATGAGTTACTAAATGTATTCAACTCAAATTAGTGATATAAGGGCAGGGTGCAGTGGATCATGCCTGTAATGAGGCTGAGGCGGGCTTATCCCTTGAGCTCAGGAGTTCGAGACCAGCCTGACCAACATGACAAAACCCTGTCTCTACAAAAAATACAAAAATTAGTCAGGTGTGGTGGTGAGCCACTCAGGAGGCTGAGGCATGAAAATCACTTGAACTCTGGAGGCAGAGATTGCAGAGCTAAGATCGCACCACTGCACTCCAGCCTGGATAATGGAGAGAGATGCTGAAAAAAAAAGAAAGGAAGAAGGAAGGAAGGAAGGAAGGAAGGAAGGAAGGAAGGAAAGAAGGAAGGAAGGAAGGAAGGAAGGAAGGAAGGAAGGAAGGAAGGAAGGAAGGAAGGAAGGAAGGAAGGAAGGAAGGAAGGAAGGAAGGAAAAATTAGTGATATGACCAATAACTAAATTTCACATATGAGTTTAGTGACATTTTCTAAACCCAAGGTAAGAACACAATGTTTTTTTTCCTCTGAGCCCTTTGCTAGAGAAAGAACACGATGTTTGATAGGTGTGAATGTTCCCAAAAACTTAGCACAGAAAATTTTAAATGACTTATTTGTTTTACCTGATACAAAGATATATGGATTATTATTAAAAATTGAGAAATATGGAAATACTTAAAGAAGATAACCATTGTCTATAATTCTGCCACCACAGTGATGACCTCTGCTAATAATGTATTTCTTTCTTACTTTATCCTCATGAGCATTTTCATATTCATTAAATATTATTTGAAAGCAAGATTTTTTTGATGATTTAATTTTTTATCGGTATATAATTATAGTTTACTTATTTCCATGTTTTGCATACTTAGGTGATTTCCACCAAAATAAATCAATATATTTAGTTATATTTATAAAACTCTATGTAAACATACATAGTTTCATGTATGTTTACATAGAATTATATGAATAGGACATCTTGGCTGGATACATGAATATATATACATACATGAATAAGTGTACAATATAAACATACATAAAGATATGTATGTTTATTTACATGAAGATATGTATATAAATTTACCAATATAAACATATTGGTAAACAATTTACGAATCCTCCCGCCTCAGCCTTCCAAAATGCCAGAATCACAGGTGTGAACCACCATGCCTAGCCTGCTTTGTTTTGAAATAATTTTTTCACTTGAGTTGCTAAGAAACTCATTTGAATCTCAAAAGTGACCATTCTTTCCTTCAAGTCATCTACTGATTATGAACGGTTTGTTGGGAAAGTATATTTTTAAATTCTAGAAAGTGCTTTTTAAAATATCCTTATGTACTTTAAAAAATTCAAGCATTTAGCTAACTCTTCTATAAATTGGTAAACAATTTACCAATATGTTTATATTGTATAGTTGTTCATGTATGTATATATATTCGTGTATGTATATATTATTTTATATAAACATTTATATATTCATATGTATAATAATTTAATTATTTTATTTTTTACATTATTGGCTAATGTCCCATTTTTAGCCCTAATATTAAACCTTCCATTTTCATTTCAGCTTTAATTATCCCTGGAGTCTGCACACTTTGACCTAAATTTGCCCCACAATCTGTTTTTGTTTGGTCCATGAACTAAGAATTGTTTTTGCATTTGTAAATAGTTCATAAAACAAAAGCAAAGAAGAAAATGTCGTAAACACCATATACCTGGCCTATAAAACCTAAAACATTTACTATCAGGCCCTTTTCAGAAAAGGTTTGCTAATCCCTAATCTAGATGGATCTACAACAGATCAACAGACAGGGAGACAGATGAGGATGCAGAGAGGAATGGTCATTGCCCACCACTGCTTGCTTTCTTCTTTTCCATTTCTGTCCTGGTTTATTTATTTTTGTTTAGTTTTATCAAGTTTTCTCTTCACATGAGGCACACGATAGTATGCCCTCTCAATGTTTATGCGTCTCTGGATATCTGGAAGGACGTCTTGGCTGGATACAGGATCCTTGGGTTGTCATCCCTTTCTTTTTATGATTCATAGTTGCTATTGCATCATCTTGTAATTTTCACATTAGAAGTTGATGAGCCCTTGTAATCTAAGACTCAAGATCCAGCTTTAGGTCAGGAAATTTTAATTTGGTTGTTAATTTAATTTTTGTTCTTCTTCTTTTGTTCCTTTTTTCCTTCTGTAAAAGCCACACTTTGCATATGTTTATCCTCCAAATCTTTTACGTCTTTTGTATGGCCCATGAACTAAGAATTGTTTTTGCATTTGTAAAGAATAGTTCAAGAAACAAAAGCAAAGAAGAAAATGTGATAAACACCATATACCTGGCCTATAAAATCTAAAACAATCACTATCGGGCCCTTTTCAGAAAAAGGCCATTTTCATGTTGTTTTTCATATAAACATACTATCTCTTTAAATGTTTGCTCTGAGTTTCGTTTTGTTTGTTTTATAGACAGGGTCTCACTTTGTTGCTGAGGCTAGAGTGCAGTGGCGCAATCATAGCTCACTGCAGCCTCAAACTCCTGGACTCTAGGGATCCTCCCACCTCTGCCTCCCAAGTAGCTGGGACTAAAGGCACGTCATGACTGACTAACTTTTGTATTTTTTGTAGAGATGGGTTTCACCATGTTACTCAGGCCTGTCTCAAACTCCTGGGTTCAAGCAATCCTCCCGCCTCAGCCTTCCAAAGTGCCAGAATCACAGGTGTGAGCCACTGTGCCTAGCCTGCTTTGTTTTGAAATAATTTTTTCGCTTGAGTTTCGAAGAAACTCATTTGAATCTCAAAAGTAACCATTCTCCCTTCAAGTCATCTACTGATTATGAATGGTTTGGTTAGGAAAGTATATTTTTAAATTCTAGAAAGTGCTTTTCAAAATATCCTTATGTACTTTAAAAAATTCAAGCATTTAGCTAACTTTTCTATAATTTATATTTCGCTGAGCATGTGTTCTGTTTGTTTAGTGGTTTCTTTCTTCTGACTAATACTCTTGTCTCTGTCCACTCCACTCCATTAAATGGCTTATTGCCCGTTCTTCTTCTCAAGGTTCTACCAATACACTCTCTTATTAATAGTGCATGAAGATACCAATTTTCGTGAACTGAACCCTACTGGATATTAAGCATTATCTTTTTACTTTACCAGACTTTATTTTTTTATAGCAGTTTTAGGTTCATGACAAAATTGAACAGAAGTTACAGAGATTTCTCAACATCCTCTTCCCGTACACATGCACAGCCTCCGCCACTATCAACATTCCTCACCCAGAGTGGTACATTTGTTACAGTCAATGAACCTACCTTAACATAACATTATCACCCAGAGTCTATAGTTTACATTACCCTTGGTGTTGTGCATTCTAAGGGTTTGAACAAATGTATAATGGCCATGTGTCTACCATTATAGTATCATACAGAGAAGTTTCACTGCCCTAAAAATCTATGCTCTGTCTATTCATCTCTCCCTCCTTCCTAACCCCTGATAATCACTGATCTTTTTACTGTGTCCATAGTTCTGCTTTCTCCATAATATCATGTAGTTGGAATTACACACTATGTAGCCTTTTCAGATTGAATTTTTTCATTTAGTAATATGCATTTAAGTTTCCTGCATGTCTTTTCATGGCTTGAGAGTTTATTTCTTTTGAAAATTAATAATACTACATTGTCTAGATGTGCCACAATTTTATTTTCCCACTCACCTACTGAAGGACATCTTGGTTGCCTCCAGCTTTTGGCAATTGTGAATAAAGGTGCTACAAACATTCGTGTACAGGTTTGTGTGTGGACATAAGTTTTCAACTCCCTTGGGTAAACACCAAGTAGTGTGACTTTTGGATTATAGGGTAAGAGTATGTTCATGTTGGAAGAATCCACCAAACTATCTTCCAAATTGGCTGTACCATTATGCATTCCCACCAGCAATGAAAGAAAGTTCTTGTTGCTCTATATCCTCACCATTATTTGTTGTTTTGGATTTTCTCCATTCTATAAGGTGTCTAGTGGTATCTTGTTGTTTTAATCTGCATTTTCCAGATAACAAATAATATTGAGCATCTTTTCATATGCTTATTTGCCATTTGTATATCTTCTTTGGTGAAGTGTCAAAGTTTCTTTCCCGTTTTTTAATCAGGTTTTTATTTTCTGTTATTGAGCTTTAAGAATTCTTCATACATTTTGAGTAATAATCCTTTAACAGATATGTCTTTTGCAGATATTTTCTCCAACTCTGTGGCTTCTCTTTTCATTCTCTTAAAGCATTACCTTTTGTTCCATGGTTCATTTGAATTTCCCAGTCTAAAAATTATCTTTGCATGAGTTACATTATTTTAAATCAATATTGCCCCATCTTTATTATCTGATAATGGAGGAAATGGTGAACTGAAAATAAAACAACAGGTCAGAAAATTCACAAATTCTTTACATACACCTTCAGATGTGTGTTTCCTATTCATGATAGAAAAGAAATGGAATCAACCTAGATGCTCATTAGTGGTGGACTGGATAAAGAAAATGTGGTACATACATACTATGGAGTATTATGTAGCCACGAAAAACTAAAACATATCCTTTGCAGCACATGGATACAGTGGAGACCATTATCCTAAGCAATTTAACGCAAGAACAGAAAACCAAATGCTGCATTTTCTCACTAATAAGTGGAATCTAAACACTGAGTACACATGTGCATAAAGATGGGAATGATAGACAGTGGGGCCTATTTAAGAGGGGAGGTTGGGAGGAGGGTAAGGATTGAAAAACTACCTATCAGGCACTATGCTCACTAACTGGGTGATGAAATTGTTTGTACACCAAACCCCAGTGACATGCAATTTACCCATGTAACAAACCTGCACATGTAACCCCTAAACCTAAAAATTGAGAAAAGAAAAAAATATGTGCCGTAACAATTTTGTTTTAAAATTATGTTTGACTGAAACAATTTTTAAATGTTTTAAAATATAAAAAAGTTTAAATGTGGGAATTTAAGAAAATGTTTTAAAATGTGGGGAAACTGAAACTGAACTGATGGTTTTAATTTTAAAAGCCATGTGGACGATCTGCCAGATGAATAATCTGCTTATGGCTATGCCATCAACCCATTGATTTCCTCACTTCGTTGTAACCTAAAGTCCTTAAAACAAGAGTTTCGTGTTCTTATCTTTGTAATTCCACCCTACGTCTAACAACCCTGAGTGCATGGTCGAGCTAAACCAATTGTTTTTAAGTTGATTGTGGTAGACCACAATCTTCGTTATATTTATTTTGAATTAAATGAAAACGTTTTTGATTTTGTCTTTTAGAAGTATCAGATGCAAAGAATAAAACTTTCAGCAAGTTTGGATCTTTTTCTGCCACCTTAGAAAATGGAATCTGCCTCTCAATAAGTTACTATGGATCAAATGGAATGGCACCAGGTGAAATGAACACAACAGAAAGGATAAGTGTGCCCCACTGCCAAGGGCCCCTGCAACTGCCCATTCTCAGTCTGCTCACTTGTCAATAACATGTTATGATTTAATGTTCCTCATAGTTTTTCCTGCATAATAGGAATAGAAGAGGGGTGTGTGTGTGTGTGTATGTGTGTCTATATATGTGTGCATACATATGTGTGTATACAAGTATATATATATATAAAATCTTTCATACATAGATGCATACAAAATAAAAATGCTTTGAAATGCTTTGACATTTTATATAATCCTTTATATAATCACTTATACATATAAGATTACATGTGTGTGATATATATACATGTATGTATACATGTATATATGCACACACATATATACCGGTTATCCTTGTCAACTACTCCATAAAAATGAGCCTTTTAGTTGGGTGTAAAAGAAAGCATAATTTGCCAAGGAATCCTCTTGGTTTTCTTTGTGAATCCTGTAATTATAAAACTGTTCAGTGTGCTTCAGGACATTAGCCTTAAAGGAGCTACTAAGTGGACAGAAAGCTTTCTGTATCCCTCTTTCTTTCTTTCTTTCTTTCTTTCTTTCTTTCTTTCAGACAGGATCTTGTTCTGTCACTTGGCTGGAGTGCAGTGGCGCAATCATGCCTCACAGCAGCCTCAAACTCCTGAGCTCAAGCACTCCTCCCACCTCAGACTCCTGAGTAATTGGGACTATAGCGCACACCACCACACCTGGCTAATTATTTTTGGTAGAGATGAAGTCTTACTATGTTTCCCAAGCTGGTCTTAAACTCCTGTGCTCAAGTGATGCTCCCACCTTGGCCTCCCAAAATGCTGGGATTACAAACGTGAACCACTGCACCCAGCCTTCTACCCCATTTTCAGTAAACAAATTATCCAACTGGAACTATTTCTTTACAAACCACAAAATAGGATGTCACTTTACCAAGAACCAATTAGGAAATTTGTGGCTTCCCATGCATTTTAGAGGGATCTAACCACAACATATTTTTTTAAAGTATTATAAAATCAAAGGTAAACTCAATGCTGCCTGAACTTAAAGCTATATGTTAGTGTCAATCATGGTGATCCAATTACCTGTCTTTCTATATAGTTTCTTTTTTGCAGTGATAAATTTTTCATGGATAATTATAATTTTATTTCTTACCTTGTGCCAGATATCCTAGTACTCTACTGAGTTTGAGAGTCCATTAGATTTCTTAGTATTTTGGCTTTATTGGAGTTTTTGTGTTTTAATTTTGTCTTTGTCTTTGTTTTGTTGTTAAATCAGCAGCTGGAGAAGTCATTTGATGCCTAACAAATTTTGTATTAAAATCCATTATCACTACACAGTCACTAAAAATTCTTACCTCTTCTTAATATAGGTTATCATTATTTTAGATTAAGATATTTATACCTACTATCAATTCTGTTGCTCCTATTCCTGAGTGATTTTCTTAATCCTGATTTAGTCCTTAAATTAATATGTAATAAATTTTAAACAGATGTTCCTAATTTCAAGATATAAATATGGCATTTGAAAATGTTTATTGTGTAGATAAGTAATATTTTACATCCTATATGTTTTTTTAAAAAGTTGAAGGTATGTCAGGAGATCAAGACCATCCTAGCTAACACGGTGAAACCCCATCTCTACTAAAAAATACAAAAAAACTAGCCGGGCGAGGTGGCGGGCGCCTGTAGTCCCAGCTACTCGGGAGGCTGAGGCAGGAGAATGGCATAAACCCAGGAGGCAGAGCTTGCAGTGAGCCGAGATCGCGCCACTGCACTCCAGCCTGGGCAACAGAGTGAGACTCCATCTCACAAAAAAAAGAAAGAAAAAAAAGTTGAAGGTATAAGTCTTTGAAAAAAAACACATACATACATATATATATGTATATATACACACACACATTTTCTAAATGTTCATATATAGCTGATATTTAAGAACTTTATCTGCTAATGGCTAAACAGATTTCCATTCCAATTATCCCCCTTTAATTGGGTATATACAGCTAAACATAATTTAGTAACCTTTTGGACAAATAAAAAGTAGACAATACAGCTATGAAATAGGCAAAAATATAAAAAAACCCAATCAAATCTTTGGACACTACTTCCTCTTGCTAAGAGGAATAGATCATTCTTGCTTCTTACTGCCTTTCAGGGCTCCTACTGAATACACCTAAAATTAAGAATCTTAATCAGGCCCCAACTTAAGTTTTGCATGATTGTTTACCCAAACCCTGAATGACAACCGACCTGATCCATTTTCCCATAGAGAAGTATACCTTCCTACCCTGTTATTTCTATGACTTTCAGTTCCTTGAATAAACTATGCTGTCTCTTACATCTGCCCATTTTCTTATGCTGTGCCACTACTCAGAATACTTTCTGTTGTCATGTGCACCACCACTTAGCAAGGTAAAAATTGTTGTCAACTTGTATAAATTTTTGAGTTGTAAATATTATTTCACAAGGATATCAAATTTGAATGTTGAATCAACTTCATTTTTACTTTTTCTGTTTTTAGAAGATAAGGATCCTAATTTAGAAACAATATTGAATATCCCTTCAGCACTCACTCCAACAGTGGTTCCTGTTATAGTGACCGTTCCTCAAAGCAAAACTAAAGGGAAAATAAAAGGCAAAGAAAAACCCAAAGAATCTCTTAAAGAAGAAGAGCACCCAAAAGAAGAAGAGAAAAAGGTAAACGAACCTTGCTGTAGATTCCCAAACTCTGTTTCTGCTTCAGTGTTAACTTTTTTAAAACCATGAATTACGTCAATAGTGTTATTACAGTGCATATATTTTATTGTGCAGCTACATTAACGTCCCTTGTAGTCTCAACTTTGAATAGACAAGAAGGATTTGTACACAAAAGTTGGGTTACCACTCCAGGAGACATATTGTCATACATAAGTTGTCTCAGGTCATTCATTCTAAGTTTGGAAAAACTTAGTTCAACCTTTTTTCCACTCTATTTCTTGGATTTTCTTTGCTTTTGATTGGTCAATTTGCTGCCATCCTGTATTTTTAATACTTTGTTTAGCTCCACTGAGATGAATAACAATTGGAAGAAAAATATATTCAACCAAACAATGGAAACAGTTTCATTTGGTCAAGTTGGTCTTAGATATTGATGTGCTAAGAATCTAACAAGACTGACAGCCCACCTCTGATTAAAGAGAAGTCCACCTATTACCCCTAGCCCTTCATCATAGTACACACACACACACACACACACACACACTTTGACTCTAAATGTTTTCCTAACAGAACAAAGATCAAAAGATGGTTCTGCTTTTACACTGTTGGTGGAAGTGTAAATTAGTTCAACCATTGTGGAAGACAGTGTTGCAATTCCTCAAGAATCTAGAACCAGAAATACTGTTTGACTCAGCAATCCCATTACTGAGTATATACCCAAAGGATTATAAATCATTCTACTATAAAGACACACACTTGTATGTTTATTGCAGCACTGTTTACAATAGCAAAGACTTGGAACCAACCCAAATGCCCATCAATGATAGACTGAGTAAAGAAAATGTGGCACACATACACCATGGAATACTATGCAGCCATAAAAAAGAATGAGTTCATGTCCTTTGCAGGGACATGGATGAAGCTGGAAGCCATCATTCTCAGGAAACTAACACAGGAACAGAAAACCACTGCATGTTCTCCCTCATAAGTGGGAGTTGTACAATGAGAACACATGGACGCAGGAAGGGGAACATCACACACCAGGGCCTGTCAGCGGTCAGGGGTAAGGGGAGGGAGAGCATTAGGACAAATAGCTAATGCATGTGGGGCTTAAAACCTAGATGTCGGATTGATAGGTGCAGCAAACCACCATGGTACATGTATACCTATGTAACAAACCTGTACATTCTGCGCATGTATCCCAAAACTTAAAGTAAAATTTAAAAAAAAAAAAATTTAAAAAGAGGGTTTTAAAACACAGGTAACAAGAAAACTACTGGTTAAGTCTTGACTATTGGTACTTACTACTAAAAAAATACAGTGAAAAAATAATCAACTACGGGAAGATAAAAATATGTTTAAAAGTCCAAGAACCTGGGTTTCAGACTCTGGCCTTTTAAAAGTTACGAGTTTTAAATACGACAATGCCTCTGCACCATATTTACATAGGTATACTAGATAAAATTTCTCATGCCAGGCCTCTTGACTCTTGTTAAGTAAAAATATTCAAGTATTAAAACAGAATAACTCCAGGTAATTCTTTTAAAATTAATTTGGCCAAAGGCATCTTGCTAGCAAACTAATGTGTTCACTCAATGTTTTTTAAATAAATGATAATGAAAGGATGAAGGATGATAACTGATTTTATGTGTGATGATAGATTTGCCATGGCAGGTTTGCATCTTTGAGCAGTTTTGTTCATTTTACAGAATTTCATAAGCATTTTTCTCTTATTTTTGCTTTGCATTTATAATTTATTTTTAGCTAACTATTTATATATTTTTCCTCAGTGACAAAGAAAAGGCAGAACAACTTAAATGTTCAACAATAGAAGACTAGTTAGAAAAAAACAAATATCCACCAATTGGGTACCAGTGGAGTGATTTTGGTGGTTAACAAAAGAGAACCAGTTAGAAAAATTGAAATGATTATCATTAGGGATTGTTTGAAAGTTAATAAGTAAATTTCATTCTTTAGTACATATAACCAAACAAGGGATTTAGGCATAACTGACATAAAATTAATTAGGATTTTAAAGTAAACACACCCAAACCCTCATTAATTTATAAATAACTTTATAATTGTCTTTTATTTTTATTTTATTACATTCATTTGCTACAAAAGCAATATGTGCTCATAATAGAAAACAAAGGACAGATACCTTAATAGCATAATATCTCTAGCATCCAAATTGTAAGAACATACCAAAAAAAGTGATGGAGATGTTGGTCTTTCAAACACTTTTTCTGTATTACTTTGGGCTGCTATAAAGAAATAGACTGGATGATTTATAAACAATCAAAATTTATTGCTCACAGTTAAAGAGGCTGTGAAGTCCAGTATCAAGATATTAGCAGATTTGATGTCTGGTGAGGGCCTGTTTCTCTTATTTTATTTTATTTTATTTTATTTTATTTTATTTTATTTTATTTTATTTTATTTTAGATGGGGTTCTTGTACTGTCACTCACACTGGAGTATGGTAGTGTGGGCTCAAACTCCTGGGCTCAAGCAGTCATCCCACCTCAGCATCTTAAGTAGCTGGGACCACAGGCATGCACCATCATGCCTGGCCAATTCTTTTAATTTTTAAGGAGACTGAGTCTCACTATGTTACCCTGGCTGTTCTCTAACTCCTTGCCTCAGGTGATCTTCCCAACTCAGTCTTTCGAGTAGCTGAAATTGCAACCACAAACTACCATGCCCAGCTATTCTTCATACAGATGGTGCTTTCAGTGTGTCATCACATGGCAGAAGAGAAATAGGCAAAGGTGTTCCCATCAATCTCTTCTTTAAAAGCACTAATCCCATTCATGAGGGTGGAGCCCTCATGACTTAATTACTTTCTAAATGGCCCCACCTTTTAATACTGTCACATTAGGTGTTAGGATCCAACATATGAGTTTGGGTGGGGGCCACCAACATTCATATGCCAGCACTGCTCTTATGCCTACATATCCAAACAGAGGCATCTTTCAAGGCCTACTTCAAGCCCCAATTATTTCACAAATCCTTTCCCAATTGTTCTTATTAACTTTCACTATATCTCTATTTTCTGTGAAAAGATGTGCCGACTATTGTTACTGCCATTTGTCCCACCTGTCTGTGTGCCAGTCTGCAAGTAGAATATAAATTGCAAAACCAGAGACTCATGTGTCCTTGCAGGGTCCACCTAGCTCTGTGCAAGTCAGGTCCTGAGCACTCAGCACATCCTTGCTTAGTCAAAATAAATAATAACTCATTTAGAAAATGACAACCAGTTATTCACATGCTGAATTATTTACAGGAAGAAGTAGAACCAGAACCTGTTTTACAAGAGAATTTCGATGTTCCTATCTTCCAAAGCCTAAATGTGTCTTGCCCCAGTGGGCTCCTGTTGACTTTCATTGGGCAAGAATCTACAGGTGAGTGCTATATGGGGTAGGGTGGGGAAGCGGGGAGCAAAATGGCATGTAAAAAACAGGAAATTGTGTATTTTCTTACCAGTTAAACATATGTCTTGTTGATAATGAGCAATAGACCTTTTTCACATTTTTAGCATTTACTATGGCCAGGCACTAAGTACTTAGTATACATGTCAAAAATACAAATATTATGAGCTAGATACTAACTACTCCATTTTACAAAATAAGGAAATCGGGGCTTCAGGAGGCTCAGTTGCTTGCCTAAGGTCACTCAACTCCCAAGTGGCAGAGCTGAAATGCCATTCTCAGCCCAGTGATGACAAAGCCAGTGCTCTTAAAAACTTGTGTATATTCCTACATTCTTCACTCTACAGAGGGTCATGGGTGCAGCATGTTACTGGTCTGACCAAAACAAATGACACTGGACACAAAATATGTAGAGATAGATGCAGATTAAATAGGTTAAGAAAACCAAGTCTTCTTTTTCATGTGTCCATATATAATTTTATAGTGTATTATCTCTGTTGGTTCTGTACATGACTCCTAACTTCTTCAGCTACGTAAATAAGTACAAGTAAGATTTCTTTAATTAACCTGATGAGGCATCTGCATTTGTAACTGAATCTGAATATCATTTAAATAGAAACTCACTGTTGCAGTAAAAGTAGGAGATGCAACAAAGCAGGCACTGAACAGGGACTTGAGTTCTAAAGCTGACCCTGACGCCAATGAATGATGTGGCCCTTTTAAGTTACTTAGGGTCTCAGGGCCATGTTTTCTCATCTGAATAATACTACATTACATTAGCAATTCTTTACAGTTTCACAACTTAATATCCTTTTTCATATAATTCCCTTATGTATATCACATTTGAAAAGTGTATCTATCAAAGAAAAAGGCTATGCTTATTTAAAAATAATTTAATATTTTGTTTATTTGCCAGCCTCCTCCCCACCCCAAAAAAACAGAAACTAAGTGTTGAAGTTAAATTTTGCTTCTCCTTAGGCATTCTGAATTATTAAAAATAGCCCATGGACCCTGCTCCATTCCCAAGAATCCCTAGTGGTCCAGGTTTTCCCACTGTGTTGAATGGTCACTGAGTGTCTTCCAGTCGAAGAGCTATGAGTGTACTCAAAGAGATGTTGCTTTCAAATTCAAGGATATATTTGTTTGCTTGTTTGATCCTGTTATCAAACCCCAGCTTAATACCCCTTTCAACTGTCTTTTCTAGTAGTTTCATTATCCAGCCTAATATTTTCCTCCTTATGTTAGGGTAGACAGTGTAGTTAATAATAACTCATCTGTTTAAAATCATCCATATACTATGAAAATCCTAATTCAAGTCTGAACATAACAACATAAATACCAAAGTAGCAATATCTTCATCAGGGTCAGCCTTGGACATTAGGGAAAGACAGTTATCATGGGATAAGAGGAAAGAGCCTAGACTTGAATCCTTTCCTGAGTGACTTTTTGTTTTTGGCTGTTAGTGGTGGTTGCTTTTATAGTATAAGAAAATGATTCAAATTTCACTTCTCTTACTTACTGGTTGTGTGTCCTTAGTGCTGGATGGTTACTAAGTGTCTTCCAAAGTTATAGCTTTCTAAGTTAATAACCTCTCCAAGCCTCTATTTCTTCATCTGAAAACTCTGGAAAATTAAAGTGCCTATTTTAAAGGATTGTGAAGGCAGACTCAATAAAAGATACATGTATAAAACATTTAACATATAGAAGAAATAGCCCAATAAATGTTTATTGGTTTATCATTATTAGTAGTACTTCCGTGATTTAAGGGGTGCCATGATTTTCCCATCAGGCTGATACATAGTTCTTAAAATGCTATCATTATGTGTTAATTCCTTTGTGTTAAGGCTTTTTGGCCCCAATAAACCATATTATAAACTAAGAGGAATTTATTCAGTTAGCAAAGCCTGACTAGGTACAGTATGCCAGAATTTCTCCATAATAGTGCTTGCTTTTGAAGGAACTTATTAAGTGCTTTTCCCCTTGATTGCCAGCTAACAGCAGAATGCTAAGATAAATCTGGATTTGGTTAGAGATGAGGGGATTATGTTAACGTTAACTTTGAAAGATGACAGATGACTTAGGAAAGGCAAGCCTGAGGGGGTGACTTCCCCTGGGGCTATGGGCAACCAGGCACCACCAGGGAAGCGTGTGTATCCAGGGTGGAAAGTTTAGTCAAAGGTGAGAGATAAGCACCAGTGGGCAGGAAGAGGAAACACCTAATTCAGCAAAACTCTGCTTCCTTCATAATTTTGCCCGAATTTGTCCTAGATTTTATTAGAGAGAGTGGCTTACACATGGAGAAGGTATCTACCAGGTGTTGTAGATGACCTAATTTACTACCTTTAAATGTAACAAGGTCAGCAAAGAACCACTATTCTAGGCCATCTGTCATAATATGGAAACTGCCCTATTACCCACATGCAGACAAAAGAAAATAAGCACCAGGCATGGTGTCTCACACTGGTAATCACAGCACTTTGGAAGGCTGAGGTGGGAGGATCGCTTGAGGCCAGGAGTTTGAGACCAGCCTAGCCAACATAATGAGACCCTGTGTCTACAAAAAATAGAAAAACTTAACAGGGTGCTATGGTCCAAGCCTGTAGTCCCAGCTGCTCAGAAGGCTTGAATCCAGGAGTTTGAGGCTGCAGTGAGCTGTATTTGCACCACTGCACTCCAGCCTGGATGACAAAGCGAGACCTTGTCTCTATTTTTAAAACAAAGAAAAGAAAAGAAAAAGAAAATAATTAAGCAAGAAGATAAAATCCAGCCCTGCAGCATTGCCCAGTTCACAAGAAAGCTTTATTCTTTTTTTAGGTCAATGTGTTATAGATGAGGAACCCACCTGGGACATCATGGTCCGTCAGAGCTACCCCCAGAGGGTGAAGCACTATGAGTTCTATAAAACGGTGATGCCACCCGCAGAGCAGGAGGCTTCAAGGGTTATCACCAGTCAAGGCACTGTTGTCAAATATATGTTGGATGGATCCACACAGGTAAAAGAATGTGTTAGAGAAGTTATTCTTCCCTGTTCCAAAGTAAAAGACAGGTTATGGGTAAGGAACAGTTCTATAGCAGGGAAAAGGAACAACTCACTTGAAAAAGGAATGACACCTTAAAATGACAAATGATAAATAATGTAGTTTAGAATTTAAAAAATCACTATGCAGAGCAAGATATGAATAAACTTGTCATTTCTCTGCATGATCTAAGATTGCAAACTGAACACAGTTTTTTCCTTTTCTCCCTCTCAAGGTATCTTAAACTAGTTTTTAACATTTAAATAATGAATTCATAGTGGTGCTGGAGAACAACAAAGCATGTCATCAATAATAGATCAGAAGATTTGGAGAATTTCTTTTAAAATGCAGATCAGATGCTATCAAACTGATGGAGAAATATGCACACACAAAGTTAAAACATACACAAGAGGAGAACATGCAGCGAAACTAAAAGTCAAAATGGGAGTTCTAACACAAACATTTGCACATGGAGCTCTGGGCTCAGAAAATGAGGGTAGTTCCCCAGGTAACTCACTGTCACCTGGAGGATGGGAACGAGAAACCTTAACAATCAGAAGCCATATCCCTGCTCTTTCCTTCCCCAGTGATCACAAAACAGGAGCTCCTGTGAGCAGACACTGTACCACCAAGAAGTAAAAGGGATTCTCAATGAGAAAGATGACCGTGCACTCAAGAATCATAAATCTTGGAAAGAAAGCAATCCCATAAAAGTAAAGTACATAATTCAGTAACTGAAAGAAATAGCACCTGAAATTAAATACTTTAAAAATTTAAAAGTGGGTAAAAGCAATATAGGCAGACTTGAGAGGTTAACAGTTCACAACATAACAACTTTTTTTAAAGTAGCTAAGGAAAAATATCAAGAGTTCTTAGAAATTAGAAATAATTGTAAATGATCAAAAACGGGAGGGGGTAGATTATGAGGGAGAGAAAAGCTGAGAGATGTGGGAAAAGGGTCCATATAATATAATTTCCAGAAGAAGAAAATAGTAAGAATGAAGGGAGAAAAGAATCAAAGACATGACATAAGAAATTTTCACAGAGCTTAAAAAGAATACTTCAGATTAAACAGGGCAACCGAATGACAATCAGAACTGATATTAATTGTCTTTAAAGGATTATCTAAATATGCCGTCATGCAATTTTAGGACTGCACGGATAGACAATCCCAAAAGTGTCCTGAAGGAAACAAGTTACCTACACAAGAATAAAAACCAGATAGACATTTGACTTCTCATCAGCAACACTGACCTTAGTCCTTGTCACGTTTGTTGGGAGTGTCTAGGTACTGATATCAGGTAGACAAATCTATGGTACCTAGAGACACTGTACATACTAGATAGATATTAATAGAAACTACAAATTTAAATATGTGATAAAATTTTAAAAACAGTCATTAGAAAAATTGAAATAGAGTTTATAATTTCCCAATCGCAAAGGGGAAAGGTGAAGAATGGAAAAAATAAAACTCAAATCAATCCAAGAAAAGATGGAAATAAAAAGAAAAGAAAAGAAATCAAATAAAAGGTAAATAGAAAATATAAAATAATATTATTGTGGTGGTAACTAGGCTATTGTCTCTGAACTCCAGATCTACCTTTGTATAATCTGCTTTGTGCTGCTGGGTCTGGAGGTCTGCAAACAGCGCTTCTTCTGTGGATCATGTTGAACCTATTTCCATTTGACACACAGTGTTTATTGTTAAACAACGTCTCCCTTGCTTCTGAGAATGCTGGAAACTTTTGTTCTTTCTTCAGATTCTCTTTGCAGATGGTGCTGTGAGCAGTAGTCCCAATTCAGGTCTTATTTGTCCTCCTGAAATGCCAGCAACCCCTCACAGTGGAGATTTGATGGACTCTATTTCTCAGCAGAAATCAGAAACGATACCGTCTGAGATTACCAACACAAAGAAAGGTAACAACTGAAGCCTCTCAGTTTATAATGGATTTACTAAAGTCTTCAAGGGCTTAGTAAGTGTTCAATATTATTGTTATTATACTTGTAACCTTTTCTATGAATATATTCTTATACATATATACATATAAATGAATTCTTGCTATCACAGAATTACGTACTGTTTCATGAACTGCTTTTCTCTTAGTAATAAATAATTAACAGTTTCATATGTTGTTACACATTCTTACACATCAGGTATAATGCCTAAGCTGCAGTTTTAGGGTTGATTGGGCAGATTGATGATGTCAGGATTATGAGTGGGCATCTCTGTGATTCTCTTGAACTTTTCCTCATAATTGCAAGAAGGTATATCAACTCTAGGCATGAGGTCCTCATTCAGCAACTTCCAAGAAAAGAGGGCAAATGCAAGAGCTTTCTTCAAATGTCTCTGTTCATCAGGAAGGAAAAGGAGTCCCAGAACTCCACATCTCACCCCAGCAGACCTGTCTTGATGTCATTGATTAGACCTGGCTGGGGACCAAGGTTAGAAAAACAAGTATCTGACATTTTTTGCCTCTGTCTCAGGAGACAGCACTACTAGTAGGGAAAAAAGAAGGTGAACAATACTTGGATAAGCAATGAACAGGATCTGCCATAATCTAAATTGCAAGGCTGCTGTCCTGAGAAGTGTTTTCAATTTATACCCCTACCACAACCACAGGAAAATGTCTACTTCCTCATACCCTCACCAATGCCAGATATTATCATTCTTTTAATCTTATTCAGCATGATAATCAATGCATCTTATTGTGTTGATTTGCATTTCTTTAATTACTGGTGAGGTTAAACATCTAAAGATGTTTACTGTTTGTTTGTTATTTTTTTTTCATTTTATGAATTTCCTATTCACATCTTTTCTTGGTTTACCATTGTGATGGTCTTCATTTTCATATGAATTTGTAAGATATATTTTTATAGAGAAGGTGCATATTTGTGTAACAGGAAAAAAATCTGGTGTTCCAAATATTAAATCAGCTAACCCTCTGTGAGGCACATATTTTAATAATCCCCAATTTACAAACCAGAAAATTGAGGGAGAGAGGTTAAGTAATTTCCTTGAGGTCTCTTAGCTAGCAAGTGGTAGAGCTGGGATTTGAGTCTGGGTCCCTAACCCCTAAATTACGCTGCCTCTCCTGCCTTACAAACTTTTCTCGATTTCTCAATATGCCTTTAATGATCTAGATTTAAATCTAGAAACCTAGATTTAATCCTTTTTTATCAGTTTCACACATCTCACCACAGTACCCAGAAATATTATATGGAAGCAACTGGATTACTTTTTAATTACTCAATATTTAGTAAAACAGATTTTCCTTCAGTAGTAGCAGAAGGTTGCTGGTTAGAGAAGTATCCAGGTAGCTTTCCAGACTTCTCGGCTCAAGGGTTCCATCTTTGGTGGATACAGAGGACTTGATATAAGAGTAGTTTGTGTAGCCGCTTTTCTAATAGCCTACCCTGGTTCTGGAGAACTTCTGCTTCTAGCACGGTGTGCCCCAGATTTTCTTCACAGCCCTTCCATCCAAGACGATGCAATCACTTTTTAAATTAATAGGCTATTTTTAGAGCAGTTTTAGGTTTACAGAAAAATTGAGTGGAAAGTACACAGAGTTCCTGTTTACTCTGCTCACAGTTTCCCCAGTTATTAACATCTTGCTTTAGTGTTGTATATTTGTTACAACTGATGAACCAATCTTACATTATTATTGACTAAAGCCCATAGTTTACATTCGGGTTCACCCTTGGTGTTGTACATACTAAATCTCATGTATCATACAGAATAATTTTGCCACCCTAAAATTCCCTCTTTACCTATTCACCTTTCTTATTCCACCCATCCTGAACCATGCACACCCTACCCCACCAAACTCCTGGGAACCACTGCCCTTTTTATTGTCTGTATAGTTTTGCCTTTTCCAGAATGTCATATGATTAGAATCATACCTTAGGTAGGCTTTCTAGACCAGGTTCTTTCACTTAGTAATATGCATTTAAGATTCTTCCCTGTCTTTTTGTGGCTTGATAGCTCATTTTTATCACAGTTTGATTGATATTAATTTAATTGATATTGCATCAATTAAATGAAATATTATAGATAATATTTTATCAAATCCTCAGATTGTCACAATTCTTTGGTTAATATTCAAAGTTCTGAAAAAGTTTACTTTGATTCTTTTTAAAAACATTCTCATAGTTCTTAGGGAGGGGTAGGTTTTCCCTGGTCTTTACTTGCCATTCCAGGAGTGTATCCCATCTCACAAGAAATATGTATTATTTTTCTTATTTTTCAATCCTAACTACTTATTTCCACTATAGCTTTTTATTTGACTCTTGAATTATTTAAACTTACTTCTGGATTTGAAGCCTATGTGGTGTTTCTATTTGTTCTTATAACTGATTTTTGATGAACAATTTAAAAATATGTTTAAATGGTCAAGTTTTTTTAAATGTCTGTGCTTGAAAAGAGCATGTATCTTGTTATTTGGTACAATGTTCTCTTTATGTTTATTTGATGAAATGTGTTAGTTTTAATGTACAGATCTATATCTGAGTCCAGCAAACAATGCTGTAAAAGGCCATAGAGTTTTAGACTTTGTGGGCCATATGTCACTGTCACAACTACTCAACTCTGCCATTGGAGCATAAAAACAGCCATGGACAATACGTTGTTAAATAAGCCTGGGTCTGTTGTATTCTAATAAAATTTTATGTGCACTAAATATACTAAATTTGAATTTTATATAATTTTCATGTTATAAATTATTACTATTCTTTTGATTCTATTAGCTATTTAGAAATGTAAAAAGAATTACTACTTCACAGACTGTACAAAACAGACAGCAGGCCTTATTTGTCCATAGTCCACAATTTGCCAACCCCTATTCTATATTTTTACAGATGTTTTAAATGTGCTACATCAGTTTACTTAGCAAAAGGATGTTTAAAGAAAAGATAGAATAGTCTGTTTGGTGCTGTGTTCCTTATCATTTAATCATTATTTCTTTATTTGTGAAATAAATATGTCTTTTTTATAGTTCTGTCATTTTTCTTTATTTATTTTAAGGATATGATAGATATTTATACATTTAGAATTATTGTATCTTCATTAATTTAAATTTTCATCATTATGCAATGACTTTCTTTTTTTTGTTTTTTTTTTTCTTGAGATGCAGTGTCACTCTGTTGCCCAGGCTGGAGTGCCAGTGGCGCAACCTCAGTTCACTGCAACCTCCACCTCCCACATTCAAGCAGTTCTCGTGCCTCAGCCTCCCAAGTGGTATTACAGGCACGTGCCATCACAGCCGGCTAATTTTTGTTTTGTTTTGTTTTGTATTTTTAGTAGAGACAGGGTTTCACTATGTTGGCCAGGCTAGTCTTCAACTCCTGACCTAAAGTGATCCACTTGCCTTGGCCCCCCAGAGTGCTGGGAGCCACTGCTCCTGGCCTGCAATGACTCTTTATTCTAGAATTCTTTTTACCCTAATGTCTGTTTTGCTTGTTTTATTATAGCTACACCAGCCACTATTTAATACTTTACCAGTATAACTTTTTCCACATTTACATTTCACCTTCTGTGGTTTTTGTTTAAATGTGTCTCTTGTAAGCAGCAAACAGGTGAATATTTTAATAATTCAATTTGAAAATATTTGTCTCTAGGGTTTCAGTCCATTTATTGTATATCAAATAGTTTCCAAAAATGTCTTTATGTTGTCCTCCATTCTTGAAAGATAATTTCACTTGGTATAGAATTCTAGCTTGTAGATATTTTCACTCAGTACATTGAAAATATCCTTTATACTCTCTTACTTCCAATGTTGCTGTTGAAAAGTTGGCTATCATTTAAGTTGTTGTTGCTTTGAGGATAATCTAACTACCTTTAAAATATTCCCTGTGATTTTTAATTGCAATTTCAATATAATTTGACTAGGTATGGATTTCTTTTTATTTATCAAAGTGGGTTTACATTGAGCTTCTTGAATCTATAAATTTGTATTTTTCATTGATTCTAGAGATTTCTCAATAATTATCTCTTCAAGTATTGTTTCTGATCCATTTCCTTTTTCTTCTCTTCTTCTGGAATTCCAATTAAACATATTTAAGAGGCCTTGAAATTTTTTTTTTTTTTACTTCTATTTCTTCAGTTCTCTGAGCTTCATTCTAAGCAATTACTTTAGGTCTTTCAGTTCTCTTTTAAGCTGTGTTTTGTCTCCTGCTAAACCTGTGTGTTAATTTTTTAAATTTCAGTTATTACATTTTTTAACATCTAACAATTCTCTTTGTTTTGTTTTATAATCAGTCTTCTCTTTAGTCATGTTTTTGTCCCCTTTTTATTTCTGGAATCACATAAAGTATGCATTTTATGTGCTGTGCCAGATCATTTCAATATCTAAAGTATTGTAGATCTAATTCCATTTTCTGTTGCTTCTTCTGGCTTTCACTTGAATTGCCTTGTTTCATTGTGTCTTGGTACTTTTTGATTATGAGATGATAATTTTTTCTTATTGCTTTAATTCTAAATTCTTAGGCTGGTATAAAAGTGCATTTTTTTTTTTTTGAGACATGGTCTCACTCTGTCACCCAGGCTGGAGTACGGTGGCATGATCACAGCTCACTGCAGCCTCAACCTCCAGGGCTCAAGCAATCCTCCCATCTCAGCCTCTAGAGTAGCTGGGACTTGCCTTTAGAGGTTTTAGTCCATTTATTATACACCAAATATTTTCTAAAAATGTCTTTATGTTGTCCTCATTCTTGAAATATCAATTCACTAGGTATAGAATTCTGGCTTACAGATATTTTCTCTCAGTACATTGACAATATCCTTTATATTCTCTTGCTTCCAATGTTGCTCTTGAAAAGTTGCTTTGCACCACCATGCAGCAGGTATGCACCACCATGCCCAGATTTTTTTTTTTTTTTTTTTTTGTAGCAATGAAGTGTCACTTTGTTGGCCAGGCTAGTCTCAAACTCTTGGGCTCCTGCCTTGGCCTCCCAAAATGCTGAGATTGTAGGTGTGAACCACTGTGCCTAGCCAATAGTGCATTTCTTTGTAAAGGACTTTGGTTTCAGAAAGGACTTTAGCAGTTGATAGGGGAACCAACAGTCTTGGATCACTTTCAATTATTAATTTAAGGAATTTCTGAGGGTGCCACTCAAGTGGTGTGAATTTTCACTTCAAACCTATGTAAGGATCTACTTGTGGTTATACAGCCTCTTAAGTACTTTCTTGTCTTCTCTGCTCAGCAGCAAGTTTGAACACAGGCAAGCTTTCTGACAGTTCTGGAGTGGGGTGGGAAAAGACATGAGTGATTTCTGTTAATAATTCACACTTAGTCTGAGAGTGTAGTCATTTGAGGGCCTCATATCAAGCCTTCCATCCAGATTGTGCAGGTTCTGGCATTCATTTCTGCCTGAGTTCCACAATGCTAAGAAAACAAATACTCAGAATCACCCAGTTTGACAAAAACTCACTGGACAAAATCCAACTTCAGAGCCCTTGTACCTCTTTGGCTTCCTACTTTTACGTAGTCCATGACTTGTGCTGATCTTACTTATAGTTGCCAGCTCAGAGTCACTTTCAAGAAGATTGATTAAAAGGTGTTTTCTAGCAGTTGTGGTTCTTTTCAGTGGAATTATTGGTATCTAGTCTGTGATGTTGCTAAAAATGAAACTCCAACCCTGCTTATTTTCTTCCTCACCTTTGACCTGATCCTTGGTCAGTTTGCTTTTTTGACCCAATACTTAATGGAAAACAATGGTTGATTAAGATTTTAGAATCTGCATGTGATTCTTTCTCTTATCCTTTCACTGCCATCCTCATCCTTTCATATCCAAATTTGTTCCCCAATATACATTTGTATCAAAATTGTACTCATTTATCTCTCCTGCCAACTTGAATTTGTAATACTTTAAAACCTTCTAACTGTTCTTCCTGCTTTTATTAGTATCGATTTTGTATCTTTCTGCCAAAAGCATGTAACTAATCTTCCAATTATCTCACTTTCTCTCTTATAACACTTTAGTTATTAAATATTACCTATAGGAAAAATTCCAAGGTCTCTAACATACTGCTAAAGCCCACTCAATTGAATCAGTGCCTACCTCTTCAGTCCCTTCTCTCATCCAAAATCTGCTTGAAATGTATCATCTGGTCACATTGGTCTGTGTATACTATGCTATTCTTTACCCCAGTGTATTTCTTATGTTCCTTATGTTGGAATGCCCTTTCCATAGCTCACCATTTTTGATTAGAAAAAGTAATAAGAACAGAAGGAGAGGGGACGGAAATAGGAGAAAAACGGAGAATATAGAAAAAATGATAATTCCTAAAGTATTTCCTACTATTTCTAGAGGATCTTCTCTTTATTCTGAAAGCGATACTATTTTCACTCTCTACCAATATTCCAGAAGTATAAATACGTCCAAATTAAATTTTAGGGCAATGAAAAGGCTCAACCTGATTTATCTGTCTTTGGTTCTTCCCATTAGTTGAGTCCCTATTAGTTAGGTCGAGATGCATGTTCTGCTGCACATTTCATGGTTTGAATCTGGAGAATCTTCAAAGAGTTAACATGCCTTTACTATCATTACTTGCAATTTGTTTCTGGGCCTGAGTTCACCTTATCATTGAGATGTGATAACACTGTCAAGTCTCATCTACAGATTACTCTTTATTATTCATGGAAATAGAGTATGTCTACCCTGATAGAGCATTGAAATATTGGCCAAGGAGTTCCATGAGGGTGTCTTCAGTTCTCTCCTCCGGTTCCCAATGAGTGGGAGGTAGAGGATGGAGAGGAGGATGTATCAGACAATTGTTGATGTACTAATTAAACTGCACAAATTCCTCTCCCCAGGGATATGCCTGGCTGGTGAGGTTTCCCAGATCCAGGATTGAAGAAAGATGTTTCCTGTTATTACTGACAAAATAGCAAAATCAGGGGAATCAAGAGTTAAAAACTTAGTAACTGTTATAGTCCAATATGTCAAAAAGAGGCTGAAAGTTTGAAGATAAGTGAGAGAAAACCAGAATACAAAACCCAAAATCTGGGACTCAGGGAGAAGTACACAAGACCCAAAAGAGTACAGAAGTTGACCAGAATATATTTTGTGCCCTAGAAATGAGTTGTGTAAGCATGTGTATGTCTGGGGAAACGTGGTGGAAATTTAGCCACGGTTTGAGTGCCAAAACTAAGCTACTCATAACCTCATACTTTTCCCTATTGAGAAATAATATGATTGATGAATACCACTTAGAATTGTCTATACCACAGTATCTGAGGTAGTTTTCACTGTATCAAAACATAATGAATGATGTATATAATTGATATTATAGTTATATTGTTGTTGTTTGATTTTACTTGAACTTCACAGGAAAAAGTCACAAAAATCAGTCATCAATTGCCCATAAGGGTGAAATCCATGACCCTCCTCCAGAGACAGTTCAAACTGTAACTCCTGTGGATGTTCACATAGGCACTTGGTTTACAACCACACCTGAAGGAAATCGGATTGGGACCAAAGGATTAGAAAGAATAGCAGACTTGGTCCCATTATTATCCTTTCAGGCCACAGATCCTGTCGATGGAACGGTATGACAAACTATTGTTTATTGCAAAATTTTCTAAGTCTTTAGAATTCTGAAACAACACCCAAAAGAGTGCCTAGCTGATAATATTTTTT